CACTAATGAGAAGATGTAGAAGATCATAAAGAGATTGGAAGTAAGAATATAAGATGGGCAATCATCAAAGAAGAGAGGAAATTGAGAAAGTAACAAAATTTCAAGCTACTGCCATGATGTACAACCATCAACTTCCCCACTAGTATGGCAAAATCCAAAAAAAGGAAAACGAAAAAGTGAAGAAGAATGAATGAAAGGAAAAATGTATATAGCAAGTCAAAAGGGTAAATTGTGTGTGCATAGTATCTCACCTTAGGGAAAAATCTTTCAAAGACGGTTCTATAGTAGTATGCCTCTTTCGTTGTAGGGGTATTCTCGGGATAAACAAAATTTGCATTGGCCAACATTGCATCCGTAACCTGCCCATATAGAAATAAAATATATCCACATCTTAGAACGGAAACCCACACAAAATGAATAGTTTAGTTCCATAAATTTCTTTAACTCTGAAGACAAGTGTGCACCTGTTGGTTAGCGTGATCTTTCAAGCCATCAATCCAACTGTATCCAACTCCATCGCTAAACTGTTCTTTCTGTCTGTATAATATGTGCTGCACCCAGGAAATGGAATGATTCAATATCCTATGGCTATATCCCGAAATTTCTTTTTTCCTTTTCTTCTTCCCTTTTCTCGGGGAAATTGTAGAAACACAAAGCATAAATGGATAATGGGAGTAACCATGAAAAGCAAAGCTACAGACCTTTGGCAAATAAGGTTTTTCCTCATCATCAAACGCGTTGCGCAGAATCCACTTCTCAATTCGTCCAAGATCACGTCTTATCTGCCATTGGAAAAACATACTTATATAGGTAACACAAAGCCGAGCATAAACCCAACTTTGGCAGACTAGTTAGCAAATTTGACTTACCCCATATGGCAAAGCAAAATAACACCTTTATTAATTCAATCACAATATATTTTACAGTTTTTGCTTTCTTCAGCATTTTTCCATTTTACACAATTCCAGCATGCTGATAATATTTACATGATAATATCAGGAAGAAAACTTGGGATGGCATGACTCAATCAATGATTTCTGAAGTTGGCTCATTTTCAGAAAACATGGTCATAATTGCCAAATAAGGCTACATAATGTACTTGAAAGTTGAAGACATCAACTGTAGAATTAATGCCTGTTATTCACCCACAAACAAATCAGATTTGGACCATTTTAATAATTCGTGATCACGATACACAGAATTTATGAAATCTGTCATTTGTAAGCACTGAGTTACTGTCGTGACTAAAGATGGCAAAATGTTGACAGGATTTCATGAATCCCATCTTACCAGTTTCCATTCCGGATCAATATCCATCGCAACATTGATAAATTCCTTGTCCAAAAACGGAACACGAGCTTCAAGACCCCACGCCGAAGTTGCTTTATTAGCTCTCAAACAGTCATACAGATGAAGCGCTTTAATCTGAATTCGAATTCAATTAGACATTTCAAGGGAAGCCTTATTTAAGGCATATATGAAAATACTTTTGATGGTCTCCTAGTCTAATTAAAATGTGACAAATATAAGGTCCAGTACCTTTCGACATGTCTCTACATGAAACTCCTCCTTGTTGGGTGCCTTGTGAAAATACAGATAACCACCAAAGATTTCATCAGAGCCTTCACCAGATAAAACCATTTTAACTCCCAGTGATTTGATTTTTCGAGACATAAGGAACATAGGTGTGCTGGCCCTGATGGTAGTCACATCATATGTCTCAATATGATAGATCACCTCCTCTAAAGCATCAATTCCTTCCTGATAGCAAAAAATAAAATGAAAGAAAGTTACTTTAATCTAACATAAGATGTCAATAGATTACTACATCCATTTCTGGCAGAATATTACCTGCACTGTAAAATGGAACTCATGGTGACGAGTACCAAGGTAGTCTGCCACTTCTCTTGCAGCTCTCAAATCTGGAGAACCCTGTCAGAAGAATAAATCAAAATACGTATATCTATTAAAGTTAATACTGGATAATTATAAATATTACTAGGTTTCCTACACAATGTTCATAATCAAACATCAGTAAATTGTTCGCTGGAAAACCAAGTATAAAAAGGTAAAAAAAAAAATAGTTTGTCAGGATGAAAGACAAAATAGAACCATAACAACTGTAATTAAAGACAAACAATAAAGACAATGAAGAGACACGAAGACAACCATAGCAAAAAGAGCTTTGATACCTTTAAGCCAATGCAAAAGGTATGCAACTGTGTACCCCACTGTGCAGCTGGAGAATTAGCCAAATATCGAGAGGCCACTGAAGCAACAAGGGATGAGTCAAGACCGCCTGATAGAAGTACCCCAAAGGGTACATCTGCCATAAGTCTCTTGATAACAGCCTGCAGCATAGAAAAGCATAATAGTATATAAATGAATAAATAAAATTCAATGACTTGGAAGCGTGTATTTCAAGATTAAAATTCTTGAGGGATTCATCAGAAGCGGAGGCCCCTATGAATTTAGATGAAGACAAAGGATCAGAGTCAACACATTATAACTTGCAAATACAGGAGAGAGGAATATAAGTCACAATACAGAGAGATGAGTGAAGAAGATGAAAAAGAAAATGGGAAAAGATTAATAGAACGAAGGTAGAGAGAAATGGATTGAGTAACAGAGCCATAGTAGGAAAATAAAGAAAGAGAGGTCAGAAAAGATCTCAGAGGAACAAGCCATTCAACAATCTACTGGTGAAAATATTGATAAAGCTAACCTTCTCAAAGGCCGCTCGCAGTACAAGGGGCTCATAAGGAGCCGAAGGTATCTGTTCCGCATACCATGGTGGGTTGTACCATCTTCTGAGCCCTCCTGCACGTCATTTAATGATCTAAACTTAAGAAGTGAGCTTGCTAGCAAGTAGACTATGCACCATGCAAAAAGCAGAGAAGATAAGAATATGCTAGGAAAAAACATTCATTAGCCTTCTTTCACTACATGCCTTTGTAGCTCAAGTGATTTGTTCAACCTTAAAAGGGTGCTGATCAGAGTTAGAATCCCAAGCCCTTCGATTACTTATCCCTTCTATCCACCCATCCACACACCCTTAACTTTGAAAAACTAAAAAGAAAGGAAAAGAAAAGGTTTTTGATAGTCCAGCTAACATACAAGTGTCCGATGGCTTATTAACATTGTAAATATATCACTCACTCCTGCAAAATCTGGCAGAGGCCAATGTTACTGGTGCTTCATCTTCCTCATGAAGATCATATATCACATTCAGAAGAAAGGTTGATATTGACTAGTCCATCTCACATTGACAGTAGTAAAAAACTACATCAAAATGATTGGCGGCTGTTTGCTATTTTGACAACTATGACTATAACAGAGAATATTTGGAATATTTTAACATTATATAAGGGGAGGAAATTTAGCGACATTAAGACAGGAAAATAACCTCATCTAACTAGGAAAAGCTAGGACAGCAGAGTTCGGCAAACATTTGATTGCACTTTGATACTACAAGTTCGAAAATACATACCACTTTTGCTTGAATAGATGTGACCAGGTAGAAAAGTCATGAATCGCTCACAGTCATCACTTAAAGCTTTCATTTCCGAAGCAAACCAAGTAGATCCTGCAGAAAGTTCAGTGTTCAGTTGTTAGGAGGACTTAGGACAAATGTTTGGCCGTCAATAGTACCACTCTTTCATACTTAGTTGAGCAACTCTGGGAAACCTCTTGCAGTATGGACAAGCCATCAAGAATCAATAAGTCGAAAGTAGATAACATACCATCAAGACCCCAGCCGATGTAAAGGGGAGTAATACCAATGGCGTCACGAGCAGCAATGAAACTATTATCACGGGTGTCAAGCAGCACGAACGAGAACATTCCATCCAACATATTCACAAACTCTTCTCCATATTCTTCATACTGATAAAAGATTAGTCAAGTCAGTAGAGTAGGAAATAGGAACAGCTGCAGCTTGGATAATAGTATACTTTTCACTATACAGTTATCTAGCACGTTAAGATGCTTTAGTAGAACAACTCAAACACATATAACTACAGGATATCATGGAGTAGTGCACTTTACATTGTTTATGAGTACTTACCAGATGAGCAATGACTTCACAGTCACTTCCTGTTCTAAACACGTGAGACTTCAGCTTCTCCCTGAGTTCTTTATGGTTATATATTTCCCCATTAACCTGAAACCACAAAAAGAGTGTGTCAAAGGTACTTTAAGGAACCAAAATCACAAGCTATGGCCTAGGAAACATGGTAATACTATCCCGGAAACATTTAATGTTGTTTGAAGAAACATCCTTCCAAAAACTTCAAACTATGCATCTATGCATCGGAGAAAACAACTACATGGCAGTATTTCAAACAGCAGGGATATTTCAGCTCACCAGAATATTTCAGCTCTATGACCAACACATCACGAACCAGCTAAGGTAATAGCTATTGTCCCTTCAAATAAACTACTGAAAAATAAGTCCACAAATGAGTTACCTACCGTGACAATAACTGTTTTCTCTTCATTATAGAGTGGTTGATCCCCCGAGGTAGGATCTATAATAGCTAAACGTTGATGAGCAAGATAACAATTCTGATGATTGTGAAGCCCACTCCAATCAGGCCCTCTGTGGCGCAACCTACAATTTCCATATTTGAACAAACAAACACTCAGATGTTTAAAGGCATAAGTTGATCTATAACAATGCTCTTTTAACAAGAGATGTATCATGTGTGACAGTGAACTATATACAACGAAATAACCAACTCAAGTATTTCCCCATGAATCCATGGAAGAAGTTAGGAAGGCGCTGGTGGGAAGCAGTGATGAGTAATTACTGAATCATCGAAAATCATCATTTTTGAACAACTGATCTTGGTTTATTTATTTATTTATTTATACATTTTGTTCTTCACTTTAGACAAATTGTTCATCATATTACTTACTGATACAGATGTTGAGTTTCGTCGAATCTCATTGCATTCTAAACCCATTTCAATTTAAACTTGTACGCCTTCTTTACGTTAGTAAATGATTAATCTCAAAAACTACCTATTGGATGCGGCAACCAAATATAAATCAAATGTCAGAAAAAGTTTGCATACACCAACATGAGGAAAACATGTCAGCATCCAAGTGAATAAATCCAATATAACACCGAGCATTTTCAACTAGCCTCACCATTAAACTAAATTTTTCCGGTCAAATCCCTTCCAACATCGAATCCATCAAAACCCAACCACATTTCCGAGCAGAACTAAGTTCTGACAATAACGAAATACAAACAGCCAACCAAAAATTAAAAATGGACATACTCCAAGGTGGCCATATAATGTGAATAGCCCCAGGATGCAATTAGCCACAAGCGCAGAAAATCGAGTCAGACAAAATAAAACTGAAAAATGAAAATCAATACCTTCTGGATAGCTCAATAATCCTGGACCTTTTCGCCTGAGAGTTTTCGGAGACGCCAAGGACGGCCAGAATCCCACACATGGCTGCGGGTGTCGCTGTCTGCCCTTCTCGCCTTTTTGTTTTCCGATGACTGAGAATGAGAGAGTTCCTACAAAAGCCAAAAATGGCTGCTGAACTTAATAGTAAAAGGGCGTATTTTATTAATTTCTTTTATTATATTCGTATGCAAGGACATAGAATCTGGACCGCTGCTTTTGGGAGCTCCCCAATAGATTCCGCCTTTGGAGTTATTAGGGCTTAATCACTGACTACTGTTTTAAAGATTCATATTTGGTGGGGGCCGCCTTGATTCTGCTGAATTTATGTAATTTCCAGTTGGGTGGGAAAGATCAAATTGCCTACTGAATTTAGGTCGTTTCTCACTTGCGGCTTTTATATTTTCCTAAATAGCCGATTGCAAGAGTCAACAAATTGATGGGGAAAATTTTCAATAATAATCTTCTATATTCATAATTTTTAAATTAATTTTGTCATAATAATCTATATATACATATATATAATTGTAGGTTAAAAATTTAAAACAAAAAACAAATTTTTCGCGCTCATTTTTTCTGCTAGTTTTAGAAGGAAAAAAAAAAGGTTACATATTGCATTAATCATGTAATTGTATATTTTTTTTAATTTTATTATATAATAGTTGCTAACAGTAAACATCAACTATAATAATGGGGCAGCTTAACCAGCGAGCCCAAAGGAGTTATTCACGCACCAGGCGTGCCGCAGTGAGCCTAGTCGACCTCCAGCAGCCTGGGTGCGGCAAGGTAGCTGTCCAACAATCCCAAGGCGATGCGAGACGCGACTTGGACACCGGGAGGCGCCATGAGACGATTGTGATGGGACAAGCAATGGCAAGACGAACACGACCAAGGCTAGGAGGATGACGAGTGAGAAGATCATCTCATAACCATTTGCACAGCCTCGTAGGCCATGTCTGTACAGAGTTTGCCAATTTTTAAACGGTACGCGATAAACCCTAATCTCTAGATCCGCTGCGCTTAGAGTTAATTCGTAGATGATCTGTGACTTGCATATATTTTACGCTCCTAACCGAGCCCCAACATTGAGAAAATCCACGAGAGCTTACAATTCGAGGAGAACCAGGAGCAGCCATATGAAAACGGCTCCGATCCTGCTCAACGTGGAGGAGATCAACAACCTCAACGGACTCGGACGACTGCTGGAGGGGGTTGGTTGAAATCCGACATATTCACACGACACTTCACGAAGGGGCACAGTTAAA